AGATGAAGTCTTTTAGCATGATCTGCCCAATCCGAAAGCTCCGAAGCCGCCCCAAACCAGAACACTCCAGGATGCTGTTTGGGACGTCTGGCCAGGATAGACAGATGGACATGCCACAAAAGTCCACCTTCCTTCCAGTGAACTCTGAAGGGGCATCCAGACTCAGTTAGCCCAAGTGCGATCCAAGAGTTTACTGAAATAGACAGACTCCGCCGCGTCAGGGAAGCGCAGGTGAAGGCGCATGAGCTCACGGATCCTGTTAGAGGCCCACAAGAGAGCGCGCGCGGGGCTGGTCCTCTTGGAGTCCTTAGCGGGGAACAGCGTGCTCACCTTCACCTGCTTGAAACGATACTGGCCACCAGCCATGCAGACGGACGGCAAGTCCACTCCGTCGCACTGATGGATGTCTCTCAGCTCGGAGACCGAAAGGCTGACCCAGTGCTGGTAGCACTCGTCCAGGCGCGTCTGTAGAATGTCATGATCGGATCTCTGGGTGGGCGACAAATAACCAACACCTTCGGGGTGCATGTGGGGCTCCAGGGCCCTCTGTAGTTCCCCAATCACCTCATCATAACTTGGGGGCACGGGAGGGGGCCCCGTGGGCATGTCCACTGGGATTTTTTCGAAGGGCACGAGTTTCCGTACCCTGGCCTGTGGAGTACCCCATATCAGGTTCAGTACGACAGGTCGATGCGGCGATAGCTCAGAGCCTAGGATAACCCAAACATCTGGGCCGCATCTCAAAATGGCCCGCGCCATAACAAAAAAAAAAAAAAAAAAAAAAAAAAAAAAAAAAAAAAAAAAAAAAAAAAAAAAAAAAAAAAAAAAAAAAAAAAAAAAAAAAAAAAAAAACGATGGTGGTATTCGTCGGGCCGCTGACGTACGTGGGGACCCCCTCCTGGTGCAGCACTGCGCCGCCGTACTTCTGCGGTGGCAATCCAACAGCAAACAACTCTGGCGCCATGTTGAAATCGCCGCCAATCACAAAAGGTAAGCCGAGTGAGGTCACCCGACTGCCAATCCACTGTGCGAGCCGAACATTTTCAGCTCCCAGACGTATGGAATCAACGAAATAGGTGGAAACCAAGTAGACGACCCCATACTGTTTGGTTCTCAAAAAGCACGAGGCCACCCGGGACCTAAAGGCTCTCGGTCCTTCCAGCGGGTCATCCCAGAAATCCAGATACCTCCGAACCAGGACAGCCACACCAGCGGAACATTTACCCGTCCGAGCACTGACGGTGCACGAACCCCAAAACGACGCCCATCCTGCTTTGAAGAGCTTATCTTTGGCCTCCAGGAGCTGTTGACCAGTGACCCTCGTTCCCCGCAAGAACACCACCTGGCATTCGACAGAGAGGCATTGCAGGGCTTGAAATGCTGACTGGAAGCACGAGCCACTAATTGTGCAGAAGGAAAAAACCGACATGGCTTTCCGATGCCCCAGGGGTCCCGACAAGGTACCCACCTGGGCCACGGTATCCGAACTCGAGAAATCATCACCCATCACCATCCCCGCGCTGGTCCGCGCGGGGGGCTCCTGAGGGCGGTGGGAGTCATCCTTGTGCCCCACGCGGGGGAATCCCGAGGCCCTGGAGGATCGCGAACGAGGTGAGCGGTGGTCTCCCCGATCCCCATCCACCCTCACGCCGCCGACTGCGTGAGCAGACTGGAAAGGACCTGCCTGCTGGGGCCCCAGGCGCGGCGGTGGCCAGAGGCAGCGGCGGCTGCTGGGAGGGGGGTCGAGGTGCAGCAGCGGGCTCTAGGGCGAGATGGGCAACCACGCCGAGTGGCGGGCCGCCTGGCCTGCCAGAGGCCTCCCCTTGCCCGAGGAGGGCCGCTCCGAAGCCTGCCCCTGCTGCGCCAGACGGCGCTGCTGCTCCCATCGCGGCCGCCTGGGCCTGATGGGAGTTATAGGCGTTGGCAAAAGCTACCAAGGCCTGGCCTAGCGCTGGGCTGCTGTCGACGCCCATCCCGTCCAGCGCCGCGCGGATCTGGTCGAGCTGGAGTGCTCCCGATGTCGCCGTAGCGGGAGACTCCTCGGACGTCGGCGCCTGGAGCTGCTGCTGTACCTGATCTTGATGCTGCTGCGTGTACTCCTTCAGCGTGTTCTCCGCCTCCGACAGGGCGGTCTCCAGCTGCGTAATCTTCTGGCGAGTCCGCTCTGCAGTTAGGAGGGAGTCCCTGAGCAGCGCCTGCTGCTCATCAATCTGATGCTTTGTATTGGCCACAACCTTCTGCTGCTTCTGCATCCTGTGGAAAGACTGCTGAGCTCGCTGGGTTGTGGTCTTGCGAAGGTCTCTCTTGCCACGGAGTTCTGCCAACATAGCAGTGATCGCCTCCTTCGCCTTAGTAGTGGACTCTGTGGACCCCCCCTTATTCAGCAAATCTAGTGAATTCTGGAACATGTTGATGGGCTGGCCTACCGACTGGGTGTCCTTCTCCTTGGAGTTCCCAGTGTCTGAACCAGCTCTGGCACCTTGCTGCTTTGACATGGCCGCGCCATGCCCTGCATCAGGCTGCTGCGCGTAATGACTGCCACACTGCCAGCACCAACTATGATTGAGCGAAACTGTCACTGAGCACATGGGGCAGAGCCAAGAGTGGGAGGTCGCCGCCGGGGTCGTTGCCTTCTGCGCCGCGCCCTTGCGGCCATCAGACTTGGACCTGCCGCCTCCCTTCTGGCCTCCCCCCTTTGGCACGCTGTCGCCCTTGCCACGGCCTCGTCCCATGCGGTACTGTGCCCACGGTGGGGTGGGAGAACGTGACCTCCTCGGCGAAGCGTGGTGCGCTGCGAGCGTGGCCGTGGCCTTGTGGACCCTGAGGAGCGTCCTGGACCAGGCACGCTGGGCGCGGGCCCTGCGGTGGGCCGCCTCGCTGAGGGCGGCAATCGCGGGCGAGGCGCGGCACCCACCCAAAAGGGGTGGGCTGCACCGCTGGCGTCAGGCCGTGCGAGCGGTCGAGAGAGAGAGAGAGAGAGAAAAAAAAATGGGGCGTGAGAAAAAATCCCCCCCACTCTGCAAATCGCTCGGGCCCAAAGCCTCCTCCCCCCCCCCTCCCCCCCCCCTCCTCCTCCTCCTCCTCCTCCTCCCTCCTCCTCCTCCTCCTCCTCCTCCTCCTCATCATCATCATCGTCATCATCATCATCATCATCATCATCATCATCATCATCATCATCATCATCATCATCATCATCATCATCATCATCATCATCAGCATCAGCATCAGCATCAGCATCATCATCAGCATCATCATCATCATCATCATCATCATCATCATCATCATCATCAGCATCATCATCATCATCATCATCATCATCATCATCATCATCATCATCATCATCATCATCATCATCATCATCATCATCATCATCATCATCATCATCATCATCATCATCATCGTCGTCATCAGCATCATCATCATCATCAGCATCATCAGCATCATCAGCATCATCATCAGCGACATCATCATCATCAGCAGCAGCATCATCATCATCCTCACCACCACCACCATCATCATCCTCAGCATCACCATCATCATCATCATCATCATCAACATCATCAGTATCATCAGCAGCATCATCATCATCAGCATCATCATCATCATCATCATCATCATCACCATCACCATCATCATCATCATCAGCATCATCATCATAATCAGCATCATCGGCATCATCATCAGAATCATAATCATAGTCGTCAGCATCATCAGCAGCAGCATCATCCTCATCATCATCATCAGCAGAATCATCATCATCAGCAGCATCATCAATCCGATTTCCTTGTAAAGAATTCCCTGTCGCACCCCAGGCGTATCGGTAGAACGGGGCAGGCGTTTCGCCTCGCCAATTATGATGCGACAGCTTGAAATTTGCAGTAGCGTCAAGGTTGAAGGGCGGGACGTCTCCAAAATATGGCTCTCCACTTAGTGCCACGCACAGAAGCCTAAAAAGTGTGTAATGTAACAGCTTCAAGGATGATGTAGCTCTCGTGTTCACTCGTCATACACATTCGCAACAGCTTCGAAGATGAAGGGCGATTCCTTTTCAACATGTAACGATCGCCTTAGCGCCGCTCACATTCGTCTTGAAAGTGTGCAGACGCTTCAAGGGTGGAGGCCTATTCCTTTCACAATGTGGCTCTCGCCTTCGCGCCACTCACATTCGTCTTGAAAGTGTGCAGCAGCTTCAAGGACGAAAGGCGATTCCTTCTCACAATGTGGCTCTCGCCTTAGCGCCGCGCACATTCGTCTTGCAAGTTTGGATCCGTTCCTAAGGTTCGCATGGTTGAAGCATCAAAAAGAAAAGCTCTGGCACGGCTTAGGATTGCCAGGAGGCAACCGTCACGTTGATTCGCTGCGTTGAATTCCCATGGATTGCGTGTTGGCACGTTTTGGGAGTCAGGACGCAGCAGTCACGATGATCCGCGGCTTTGAAGTCCAAATAATGGCTCTAGCACAATTGAGGATTCTCAGACAGATGTCTTCCAATAGGCCACTTCCCGCAATGAAACTAAACTCTTGTAGGGATCTGCAAAGAGGGAAGTTGGAGGGAGGGTTTATCACAATATCTTTATGCGCCTTGGGTTCACACTGGTCCTCAATAATCCTCCTCATCATCCCTCCTCCTCCTCCTCCTCCTCCTACTCCTCTGATCCTTCTCATCCTCCTCCTGCTCTTCCCTATCCCACTCACCCTCCTCCTCATCATCCTCCTCCTTCTCCTCCTCGTCATCCTCCGCCTCCTCCTCCTCCTCCTCATCCCCCTCCTCCGCCACAACCTTCTCCCCCTCCCACTCCACAACCTCCTCCTCCTCCCACTCCTCCTCCTCATCCTCCTCCTCCAACTGTTCATTCTCCTCCTGGCCCTGCACCTCCACCCCCTGTATATCTCCTTCTCCTCCGCCCGACAAGAGGCGGCGGTGGAGGAGGGGGGGGGCGGAGGGACTACGGACCGGACAGAGAGTCAGAGGAGGGGAGAAGAGGACCCCCGGTCCCGTCCACGGAGTGCCCCCATACCACGTAGGGGACACCGTCGGCCACCTTGTCGTACAGAGTTGCCTGCGCCCAGCTGGTGCCCGCGCATGCCCGACGCCCCTCCTTCCACCCATGTCAGTCCCTCAGCTCCTCTCATAAGTATACTCCCTCTTGCTTCATTCTCCCCACGAATCCCTCACCCCTCCTCATCCTCCTTCCACCCTCCTCCCTGCTCCTGCCTCCTCCTAGCCCTCCCTCTTCCCTCGCATCCCGCCTCCCTTGTCATCTTCTTCTTATTATTCGGCCTCTTCCTCCTCTCCCATCTCTCTCAGCACCTCCGCATCTTCCTCCCTCCTCCTGGTTATCCTGGATTTGGCTACAGATGCTCCAGAAATGGGGCCAGACCTTGCTGTCAGATCTAGGGGTGTCAGCAAGCCGTCAGCACTCTCGAGGATTTCAAAGCTGCTCGCCTTCAGTGTTTCAACTGAACCCTCGAAGCTAGAAGAATTAGAAGATACCTACCCATCAGGTAATGGTGTCGGAATCTCAATGAACGCCTGAGTCTCTTCCAGTGCCTAGTCCAGTCTCTTCCCCTCCGCCTCCCCCGCCTCCCCCACTTCCAAATTAGATAAGGCAGAGAATTGCTGCCAATCGTGCGCTGGCACTACAGACGCGGAGGGCAAGGGAAAGAGAAACCAAACGGACCCCCATGTGCCTTGACAGTTGGTTTTCTAGTCGGGCCCCTCCTCCAGTGAATGATGCTGGGAGCTCTCTTGTGCAGGCCGACCTTCACAGATGGTTCACGACAGCCGAAGGCAATTCGTGACGTTCAGGTTGTCGACTTGCGTTCTCCGATGGTGGTGTGGAGGAGTGTTTCGGTATGTCCAGATATTGGTTGTATTGATTTGGGGATTCTGCACTGTCGCTCTGTAAAACCATCGTGGTCGAAAGAGTGATATCCATGGTACGTGTGGCCACCTCTGTAGCCGCCTCTTCCTTTCTTGTTTCTCCTCCTGCCCGCCCCCCGCGCCCACGGCATACGCCTTCGTCGAGGTCGGTAAGACCAGCGGCTTCAAGGAGGCACGGGGGTTGAGCTGGATGGGAGGTCATTTCGTTCGCTCTAGGGAGGTCTCAGCTCTCCGCAGTGTGTCGCTGCGTTGTTCTCCCTGTGCTCAGGTCCCCGGGAGGAAATGGGCCCCATGAGGACGTCCTGGGCTGCAGTGCTAATGAGTGCTGCACCCCCCGATGGCCCCGTGGCGGGTCCTTCCGCGGACGGCCGATCCGATCTGGCACTGACCATCCCTCGTCCCTCATCACTCACGCCTCCTCCTTCATCCTCCCTTCGTTCCTCCTCCTAATCCTCTTGTTCGGCCTCCTCCCCATCCTCATCTTCCTCCGCCTCCTCCACATCACCACTCCCTACCAGCATTTCGCTTCAGTGTTCATCGAAACATCTTTTCGGAACGCAAGAAGAAACGACCGAGGAGTCCCACCAGGGGGGACGGGGAGCCCCAGGACGCTTGGTCTGAAAGCCGTTTCGTCTGAGACCTCCTCATTCCTCCTCCCCCCCCTCCTCCTCCTCCTCCTCCTCCTCCTCCTCCTCCTCCTCCTCCTCCTCCTCCTCCTCCTCCTCCCCCTTCCTCCTCGTATTCCTCCTCTTCCTCCTCCTCCTCCTCCTCCTCCTCCTCCTCCTCCTCCTCCCTCCTCCTCCTCCTCCTCCTCCTCCTCCGCCTCCTCCTCCTCCTCAACATCTTCCTCCTTTTCCTCCTCCTCCTCCTCCTCCTCCTCCTCCTCCTCCTCCTCCTCCTCCTCCTCCTCCTCCTCCTCCTCCCTCCTCCTCCTCCTCCTCCTCCTCCTCCTCCCTCCTCCTCCTCCTCCTCCTCCTCCTCCTCCTCCTCCTCCTCCTCCTCCTCCTCCTCCTCCTCCTCCTCCTCCTCCTCCTCCTCCTCCTCCTCCTCCTCCTCCTCCTCCTCCTCCTCCTCCTCCTCCTCCTCCTCCTCCTCCTCCCCTCCTCCTCCTCCTCCTCCTCCTCCTCCTCCTCCTCCTCCTCCTCCTCCTCCTCCTCCTCCTCCTCCTCCTCAAAAGTATAATGGAGTCGTACTCTCGCCTCAAGGCCCAGCTACAATATTGGTCTGGACGGCCATGATCCCTTTGAAAAAATATAAGGGCCACAGAAAAGTCCTACAATGGACGGAGAGCCCGAAGACGTTCGGTCCAGCACCCGCTTTGCCTGATTCTTCCTCACAATGCATTCATGAATGGTGCTCTCGCCTCAATGCAGGCTACAGATTTGGTCAGGGCGGCTACGATACTTTGCAAAAAATCCGTCGACCCCGTCGGCGTGTGTGTGGGAGGGTTTCCTCATCCGCCAAAGCTGTCGGCGTGCATGAAAGGTTTTCCCGGTTGAATCGTCGTCGTCGCCGCCGCCGTTCCCCTTCAAACGTTGCAAGCAAGTGGACATCGAGCAACGTCGCAATCGAGTCCAATGGAAGCCCCCTTTCAGTTTGATCCCTCCACCGCGGGGGCGGCGGTGGGGGTCACGGGGGTGGCGAACCCGCGCGCCACCCCCCTGGGGCTGGAGCACCCTTCCCTGGGAGAGCTTTTCGGTTCCAAAACGTCACCGTCGTCGTCGTCGTCGTCGTCGTCGTCGCTGTCGTCGTCTTCGCCGTCGCCGTCGCCGTCGCCGTCGCCGTCGCCGTCGCCGTCGCCGTCGCCGTCGCCGTCGTCGTCGTCATCGTCATCGTCGTCGTCGTCGTCGTCGTCCCGGGATCGGCGGCACCAGCCGTAAGGCCTTCGCAATACACGAATGTGCACACGTTTGCGCCTTGCTGCAATGAGGGTCCTTCCCTGGGGCAGCGAGTATCCTCCTCGTCGTCGCCATCATCAACATCACCACCACCACCACCATCATCATCAGCAGTATCATCATCAGCAGCATGGAAAGCATCCTCATCGTCATCGCCCTCGTTCTCAGCCTCAGTACCCGAACGTTTGTGCACCCGCCGCTACTTTGCAAAAATCAGTTGCCCAGCTCCCGCCCCGCGAAGCGCCGTCCCACCTCCGGGATCTGCCCTCGAGCGAAAACGACACAAGAGGGTATGCCATCCAATTGGGCGACTGACAAATTATTCACTGCGTGTAACTCCCAATATGTACACATGTTTGCATGGAACTGTTGCGCCGTGTCTGGGCCGAATATAAACAGAACGAACGAACGAACACACGAGTCTGCCGTCGCCGCAAGGCGATCCCACAAGGGCGACAGGCGCGCCAAACGCGCTGGCCTCCGGAAAGGCTGGGGATCAGGTGTGAAACGTCGAAAACGACGTACGTGTAAAAGAATCAACGCCACATGCTTTGAACGTAAAATCTTCCAAATGATGCCAAGTCTCGGATATGTTTGCCACGTCGTTCCAAGAACCCCATCCTCTCTTTTGCAAAAGAAGCAATGTCATCTTCCCATCGCACAAACCGCCCTGGTCGACATCGAACGCGGCATGCTGCTGTTCCCTTTGATTGCTGCGACCACCAATCTGCATTTCTCCACTCGGTTGTCTTTTTCGCCCACCTTTCGGGCGTCACGCTTGCTACTTCCAGCCCGCCGCCATTTGCTTCTTCAGAATGTTTCTGTCCAGCACCTAACGCCTGCTTTCCGGGCCCTGTCCTCAGCCGTCCGCTATGCCCTCCTGATCCACGATACATATCCTCTTCAGGTCGTCTTCCGGGCCCCACCATGCGTCGCAACATCGACCTTTGGACGATCCGGGGCTTTCTTTTTTGGGCTACTGTCAACTTCCAGGACTCACAACACCATAATACAGTTTTTGTCACCGTTGACTTGAACAAACGCAAACGCTTCGCCATCGAAGTGCCCTTTTGTCGTAAGCAGCGTTGACAAACTGGAACATGTCGCCCACCCGGCTCTTAATCGTGCTTCGAATTCTTTCGATGTGCTTCCATCCAATGATACTATAGTGCCCAGTACGCTGAATCCCTCAGTGCAGTTGGAAACTGGATACTCTTCCCCCGATAACCTGATCTTCTGTCCGCGCAGAGAGGACTTCCCCACACATTGCACGCTGCACGTCGGCGTCGAGATTCAGCCCAATGTTTGCATATTCCGCCCGGATATCTGGATTTTGCCAGTAAGGTAGTGTCGTCGGCGAACATCATGTACGTCAGCGGGCGCTTGCCCAAAAAAACGCCCGACAGTGCACCCATATGACTTGGCCTCCCATTTTTCGTTCAATTTTGCCATTGCGTTCCGGACGGCGTTCGCGAAGAGCGCCGGCGACATTGGATCACACTGCCGAACGCCACGCAAAATGTCAAAATGCCTGCTGCGAGTTGCTGGGTCCAACTGTACAAATGTTTGCTGCTGCCTATACGTGTTTTGGACTGCCCCAAAATACTCCTCACTCACCCCCGCCGCCTGCAAACCAATAAGAGCAGCTGATTGTATGATTATGCCAAACGCTTTCTCTAAATCGATAGATGCTGCCCATGCGCGCCCCCCCACACTCCTTTCCTTTCTCACTGACCACCCTCAAGCAATGGACTGAATCACAGCAGCCGTATCCTTTCCAAAAGCCCATCTTTTTGGAAGTTCTCACATTGCCCAAAACTTGCTCCATCCTTCTGAGCAGCACGCTACTGTATAGCTCACAGAAGACTGGAATAATGGGGGTTTGTCTGTAGTTCTTTGGTAGAGTAGCATCCCCTTTTTGAACCATACCAATATTTTTCAAAAAGATTCCACGACTCTGGAGCACGCGTTTCCCCATTGAGGAAATCAGCAAACACATCCGACATTGCATCGATCATGTCACGCCCGCCATCTTTGAGCATCTCTGCCACTAGCCCATCTTCGGCGCACGCTTTGTGGCGCTTCAGCATCTTTATGCACTGTTCTATGTCGCTCCTCAAACCTTGCGCCGCGCTTTCCTTCTGTTCCCACTGCGTCTCATCAAATGCCTCGCGAGGCGCAGAATACAAGGACTGATACAAAGTAGCGAATACCTCAGCTATCCCACTACGGGTTGACTTTGCGTTGCCCTCGTTGTCCTCGATGCTGGCGATGCGCCTGTTTTCCCCCAAATTATTATGGATGTGCGGCAGTTTACTGGCAGCCCCTACCTCGATCAGCTCATCCAACTGCTTGTTATGTTTTTCTCTGGCTTGTTGCCGCAGGGCGCGACGCAACCGAATGGCATTGGTCCGTATTTATCCTTTGGTGGTTGCCTAATTCCTTTCCTTCCTTAACTGTTGAACCCGCTCGTCTTCTCCCAACTGTTTCGCTCCCGCTTTTCATCCTGAGTTGTCACATACTGCCGCTGCCTTCAATACTGCATGTATCACCTCTGTCGCATGTTTGAGGCGCTGGGCGACTGCAAGACGCTGAGCCTCATGGTAATTGTCTTCATCCACGTTTAGAACCATCCTTTTCCTGCAAGTGGCTGCGCCCATTTTTCCTCTTTTTCCGAAACGTGCCAAACTTCGCCCATACTGCCCTGTGGTCTGCGCGATACAGGAGGTCGGACACAACAGCGGTATTGCGTAATTCTGAATGCAAAGACAGATCCACCAAAACATAATCTATCTACCTGCATTCTCCCGTCCTCCACAATCTGCGTGTCCATGTGTTCCCCACTGGTTTTTTGGAATACGCACTGGTGATTGTGAACTTGTTGTGCATAGCCCATGCCAAACATGGTCGCCCCTGTCAGACCGCACTCCCAAGCCATACCTGCCAATGAACTTTGGGATTGTCGTCTTCGCCTAGCTGGCCCACCTATGCGTTCGCATCAATTCCTATCACAGTGTACCTCTCGCTACTGCGTGCTGGAATTCTTGAACGCAAAATGTCCAAAGCTGCTTCGAATTCCCGAATTCCACGTCCGAGCGACCAGCGTGAGGCAGACGCGCAGATATCATTCTCCATTGCCCCCTGTGACCGGCAAAATCCGCGCACGCAATGCGCCCGCCCTCGACGACATCGAAACTTTCGAAATCCGATACCCAATGCCTGCGAATGAATATTGCCGCACTTTTATCCCTCTCTCCGCGGGCCCCCACACACCACAAGTGCCCTCCAATGACATCGTCGATCGTGTTGGTATCGTTATTTGGGCCCTCTTGTATCAAAATCATATGCCAACGAACTTTCAAACTGACAGCTCCAATCAAAAACGTTTCAAATGGCTCTTCGCTCATTCCAGCCGCGCTTCATGATACAAGATTCATCTCTGTGTGAGTTGGGAAGTTTGCTGGCTCAGCCTTCTGCTGCGCACGGAAACCTCGTACCGAGTCTATCGGAAAATCCCCGGGCACCGTCATATATTTACCGCGCCCTCCTCCCGCACATGTTTGCATGCGAACTTGCATGTCATGCCCTTCATGGTGCACACAATCATGATGTTCATGGCAGGGTCACTCCGACTCCGTGGCCAGATCTGCTGACGCCTTCTCCATCCACTTTGTCATTGACTCCTTCATCTCCCTTTCCACCTGCCGTGCTGTGTGTGTGTGTGTCATTTTTTGCTCTCCGTCCTCGTACCACGTTACTTTCTTCTTCCTGGCCTCGACAAATCTCATCCCCCATCTTAATTTGACTTCATCGTCTTTGACAACCTTTTGATCGATGAGGTGGAACTTGATGTACCCCAACTGCTTATCTTTGTCCCGCTCCTCCCGGGTCAGATTGTTACGAAAAAACATGTCCCCCACCTTGCTTTTGTTTTGCTCTTCCGCCGCTTTCCGGAAAAAACGTCCTCTTCGTCGAAATGGCGTCGAAAGTGGCCATGCCCATCCTAGCTGGTTCGGTAAAGGTTTCCACTGTGGCCCCATGCCCCTCCCCAATGATATGTTCCAGCATGTTCTCAATTTGCTTCAACACCAGATGTGCTTCTTCTCCCCCATCGAATCCGAGTGCCACGACCTGCTTTTCGCTGTCTTTGTCCTCCTCAATGCTGCCTTGGCTCCCTCTCCCCGTCTTCATTTCCTCCACCTCTTTCCTGATCTTTGGCGGCGCGCACAAGGGGGTGGGGGGAGGGGGGAGGCCTTCTTAGAAGGAGGCTGCTTCTTAGAAGGCGCGAGCCTTACATCTACAGACAAGGCCGGCGCCTTCTAAGAAGCAAGGATGCTTCTAAGAAGCCTTCCCCCCTCCCCCACCCCCCTCTGCGCGTGGCTGATGTCGCCTTCACCTCCTGCACCGCCTGCTTCGCCATATTTGCCGTAACCTTCGCCTGGCGTGCGATGACTTTCGCTTCCTCCGCATCCTTCCTCGTCTCCTGCACGTCCTTCCTCGTGCACTGCATCATGCGCATTATCTTCACCACCATGGCCTTCACGCCCATCTCCTCCTCTTCTCCCTCTTCCTCCATGTCTAGATATTTGGATTATTCGTCCTTGTGCATTTCCTCGGCTTTCAGCTTCTTATCCTTTGGCGTTTCACCTGTGCTCGCCTCTGCCTTCTTCTTTCCGGACTTGTCCATTCTGTGGTGCCGGTCGCCCAAAGGCCGGTTCTACAGGTAGATCGCGATGCAGATTGCTAGCTGGAGCCCTCTGGAGCCCTCTTGAGCAAATGTTGCTCACTTGAGCCAAAATAGCTACGGAGACTGAGATTAACAGACTGGGAATGGCTCACTCGAATATAACCGGGCTTGAGATTAACAGACTGGGAATGGCTCTAACTGTTAAGGAGTTGGGGTGTGAATGAGTCTCGGTAGTACGAGTGGGCCTTTGCGCATGAATCTGAGCATGTCTAAGCTTAAGATGATCGGTGCCGCGGGAGAAGCCCAAACTATACCGATCGATGGAAAGCACCTAGGATTGAGGCCACAGGAGAAGGGCAACATTGATGAACACACGTAAAACACCAAGGGGTCGCGCCCCAGGAAAAGCCCTGTCTGCAGGCACAGGTGCAAACAGACAGGATTGGAGCCACTCCTGTGGAGCCTCCTGGGGCCTCCCGGGGCCTCCTGGGGCCTCCTGGGCCCTCCTGGAACTTCCTGCGGCCTCCTGGAACCCCCTCGAGCCTCCTGGTGCCTCCTGGAGCCTCATTGAGCATCCTGGGGCCTCCTGGGGAGGATTCGCGCACCAGAAGAGGCCCAATCGATATGAACATACGCAAAACACATAGGATTGGGGCGACAGGAGATGGGCAGTCTATAGCAACATACGTAACAAACAAAAGGGTTCGTTCCCCAGGAGAAGCCCACTCTATGGGAACAAACGCATAGGAACAAACGCAAAAACACTTAGGATTGGAGCCACAGGGGAGGGCAATATACGGTCCAGGGTCTGGGACCCCCTGCCCGACCCCTCCCCCCCCATGGGTATGCCATCGGGCCCCCCCGCTCCCCCCCGAGGGGTCCCTCCCCCCCCCCCGTGCACGTGGTGTGGGTGTGGTGTGCTGCTGTGGGTGTGTGCGGGGTGGCGCCATGGTCCTCCTCCCCCCCCCTCCCCGCCTGTGGGTGCGGTGTGGGTGTGGCGTGTGGCTGTGATTGGCTTGATGTTGACAGCTCCGGTGCTCGACGTCGTCGTCGCCGCCGCTGGTGGTGCCGTCGACGTCGTCGTCGTCGTCGTTGTCGTCGTCGTCGTCGCCGTCGCCGTCGCCGTCGTCGTCACCGTCGCCGTCGCCGTCGCCGTCGCCGTCGCCGTCGCCGTCGCCGTCGCCGTCGCCGTCGCCGTCGCCGTCGTCGTCGTCGTCGTCGTCGTCGTCGTCAACCCGTAGCCATTTTGGCTCAAGACCAATGCTTTGGCGGGCTGAGCCCGCATTGGCGAAACTGGATACCGCTAGTCCGCGGCAGCAACCTTCATCCTTCACGGAGGTCCCTTGCTCCCCAGTGCGCGACCAGTGGCTCCCAGCGGAGCGTGCAGCTGGGGAAAGGGGTTCGAGAGCCTCCATCTCTCATCACCAGACATGGTTAAGCCTGGATATGTCAAGCGTGTGGCGTGCTCATACAACTTGACATGGAAGGGCCGTGACAAATACTTCAGTTGCGGCAAGACGTTGGAGCTGGCCACTACATCATGGCGCAATGCACAGCCGCAGAGAGTTTGGGAGACGCGGCTGCAGACGGCGCTTGACAACGAACGTGCGGACGAAAGTAACGACGGATGGAAGCCATGAGCGCCTGGCCCAAGTCCAAGGGAAGCCGCCATCGCCATCAACAGCACTGGTCCAAGCCAACGGCGGCGGCAGATCCCAACGACACAGACTCCATCCTGGCGCTCCTCGACAAGAACCTCACGGATGAGCACCGTGCGAGGAAGTTGACGATGAGCTGGACATCCACTACGCCAATGTGATGTGGGATTTCGCAGAGTTCTATGACAGCGTCAACCCAATCATGGCATTCGAGGCGGCACTCAAGATGGATTTCTCTCCCAGGAAGCTCGGCATGGCTGCAGTACTTTACACGTCGCCCAGGATGCTGCGCTCTCGAGGCGCCATCGCGGCACCCATCCAGCCGACAGGTTCGCTTCTCACAGGAGACAGCGACGCCAATAATCTCGCCCGAGCTGTTTTATACGATATTTAAGACGAAATACATTGCCAGTTTTTTACCCAGAGGTGTTCGTTCGTACCAATGGGTAGATGATATCAACCAGCGCGCTGAAGGGCCGAAACACTTCCTGACCCCCCTCCTGGCCCAGGCGGCCGCCCTGTTTTATAGGGGGGCCCGCGACCTCGGCCTCGATATATCGGGGAAGTCTGGGGTGATCGGGATCGACACTGATACGGCCAAAGCAGTGTGCAAGGAATTTAACAAGCTAATTCCTGAATTTAACCTCCAGCCGAGCGCAGTCATAGCTGACCTCGGGCTCGAAAGAGGGTCCAAGGCGCCAGAACAAAGTTCAGCACAGCGAGCGAGCCAGTCAGGCTTTTAGACAGTCATCCAAAATTCGCAAGATTTCCAAGTTCAGCCGAGTGCGCCTAGCCGGGCGCAAGCTCACCCTCATGTCCCTGGTGCCCCGCATCGGGCATGGAGCCATGGCTGCAGGCATGGCACCGACCCAGATTTTGAAGAGTGCAGCGCGCGGTCGCGGGGGCGCTTGGGGGTCGCAAGGCTGGACGCTGTCTGACTGCATACCTGGCGCTGGAGCTTGGTAACCGCAACCCAGGCATCGAGCTAAGAGTCCGCCAACTCCCGACCTGGTTTCAGTTGATTACGCGCGAGAAAAACAGTGAGCATGCGCTAGGTGTGACAGTAACCTCCCTGAGACCCCGTTTCACAGGTCATGGCAATGCAGGGCCAACCTGAGGCTGCCAGCATGCCAAGAGACAGCAGATCTCGAACAGGAGGCAGCCGAGGGCCACCACCAATTTCCTTGTTTCTGGCGCCGAGGCCTCATCCAAAGCGAGTGGACGGCGGTCGATCCGCCATCTCACGAATCTCAGCGTTGGCCTTGGCACTCCCAGCAAGCAGTTCCAGCTAACCTCCAGCCAGGAAGTCAGTTTTGGGGAGCGGGGGACGGCTCTGGAGGAGCCAATACCAATGACCCCCGCCTCCGCAGGTGTGGATGGGCATGTGCCCACCTTGCTGCGTGGTGTCAAGACCCGACCTGGGACCAAGTAGAGGCCATCAGTGGCCACGCGGGGAACCTCCCAGGGCCCAAGCAGTCAAGTAATCGAGCCGAACTGCTAGCTTTGATATGATGGCTGGAGGATCTTCCCCATGCGTGTTGTTTACCGCCTGACGGCGAACTCCACTTTATCACTCATTCGGCGTATGTTATCCGTGGAGTGTGTCGTTCCGACACCAGCAAACCCAGGATCAATAGGGACCTTTGGAGGAGATTTCAGGCGGCCCGAGGGGGTCGCCAAGTTTTTTGCCACAAAGTAGAGAGCCATGTTTCCGACGCCAGACGTGCTGAAATGAATTTTCATGAGCTTTGGCTACGGGCCAACAGGCTTGTGGGTGCCCAAGCAGATGAGGCGGCCAAGAGATTTCAAGTTCCCCCTGACCAGGCGCAAAAGGTCAAGGACATTGAAGCTAAAGCCGCCAGAGTTCGTAGACGATTGTGCACTGTACTCGAGGAAGTTATGCAGACAGACAGTGAAGCCAGGGCCCAGGTTAAGAGACCCCCGACCCTGGCTCAGCAGAACAAAGCGCCCCGCCCCAGCGTCATGCAGAGAGCGGTGGCGACCAGTGCACATACTCCGACCATCACAAAGAAGGGTAGACAGGGGGTCAAGGCCACCTGTTCGGGTTGTCTTGGTCGTGTTGGGGGCAGGGCCCGTGTCCTTAAATGGCTGTTGACCCCCTGTCACCCTGTTCCTATCCCCGAGGGTTCTTTGCAACCCGCGAGCACAGTCCCTGAGGCCCACCAAAGGCTTCACATTGGGAACCGCTCACCTCACCAGTCGCACAATGCTGTCGCCCATGAGGAGATCCCCATCTTTTATTGCAGCAGCTGTGTTTATCTTTGTGCACGCGAGGGCGGAACCCTAAGGAACCTCGCAGTGGAATGCCGTCCTCGAACGAAGGACGGCAGACACAACCTTGCGCAGATTGCCAAAGGCATTTGGCCAGGGAGCTCAAGAGCTGCTGCAGAATTCAACCAGAGGAGAGGCCTTCGCCCCACCAAGGCCAAGGCGAAGTCCCGTCGATAAACAGAATACGAGCATTGCTCAGCGGAGGAATCCAAAAAAGTCGTCGACGTCAACGTCGTCGTCGTCGTCGACATCGTCGTCCTCCCCCCATCCCATCTGGGGGGGGAGGGGGGGGGCTTGTGAAACCCTGGGACCCATCCCATCTGGAGGGGAGGGGGGGGGGCTTGTGAACCCTGGACCCGGGATCATATATAGGAAAATACATAAAACATAAAGGATTCTGCCTGAACGCAGACGGGTCTGGCCATTACCACACACAAACCGCTCGAGGCATCCTCCCAATCTGGGCCCCCCGGTGTGCGAAAACCAGCGCCTCGCCAAAAACATGTTCAAAATCTGTCCCGAAAGCACAGGATGATGGGTTGGTAAACGAGCAAACCGCTCGAGACATCCCCGCAACCTGGGCGCGAACAGAGGAATGAGATAGCGTCAAAATCAGCATAATCATCATCATCATCATCATCATCATCATCATCATCATCATCATCATCATCACCACCACCACCACCACCACCACCACCACCACCACAACCACCACCACCATCATCATCATCATCATCATCATCATCATCATCATCATCATCACCATCATCATCATCATCATCATCATCATCATCATCACCA